GCCGTCCCCATTGCTGTTGTCACCACTGCCACCGTCACCGTCACCGTCCCCGCCATCACCATTGCCGCTGTCACCATCCCCCTCCTCACCAATGCCGCTGTCGCCAACCTTCCACCGTCGCCATCCCCACCGTCAACCTCCGCCCCCTTCATCCCTTCCCCCTTCACCCTTCCCCCTTCACCTCCCCCACCATCGCCACTGCCACCATCTCCACCTCCGCCCCACATCCCCCTCTCCTCTCTCCCCCCTGTAGCAGCTGACCGCTGAAAAGGTCTCTCGAGTTGCTGGTGGTCGCGCTCTGCACGTATTTATAGCACCGTACTGTGTACCGGCTGCTACACCCCCATATCCACCTTTCCTATCTTCCTCACTTCTTCCATGTGTGTTCACATCACCTGATGATGCAAAAGGAGGAGAAACATTTCTATAAAATACCTTATGGACTACGGTCTCACCGGTCTCACCGGTTGTCGGGGCTCCACTGCATTTCCGCCTGACCCTTCGGTGGACTCCGGGCTCCACTCCATGTCCATCGCCACTGGAGACGAGGCGCCTACACTGACAGGGGGGACCTAGCTTCAAATCGCTGATGGTCTACATGTGACGTGTCTGCTAGTTTCGTTTGTTGTACCTGTTTCATCCGGCTGGTTAGCTTGAGCCTGTGCTCCTGCACCAACCAATGCAACTGGAGCTTGTTGCTGAGGATATTCATCTGCACCATATCGGACGTCACAAGTTTTAACCATACAGAGTACGTGGCAATGTATTGCAACAGTGAGAAATTGCGACCATCTCGTTAGGAGCCACGGCCTCTTTTGCCATTATTAAAAAGCTGGACGCACTGCTGTCTGGTGATGTGATAATATGCACAAGACTTGCACTGATCATTGCGTCCACAGGACGCACACAAAAATTCGAATTTGGAGAGCGGCCGTCGCAGAGGTAACGGGGATATGTTTTAGCTGGAGGGGCCATAGTTATTAGCTGTTATTATACCTTCAACAGCCAGCCAGGCTTGCAAACAGATGCTGTGTGCGTTTGTACTCGTTTTGCCGAACGTAGCTCCTAAACACTATGCACCATCATGCTAAGTCATGTTCTCACTAAAAACAATGCTGGCACGACGATATCAGAAGGCCTCTATAAAGGAATCCGTGAATTATGACCACTTATGCCAAACTCCTTCCATATGTTCTGAAGGCCCCTCAGCCCTTCATTCCGAAATGAGCATGAAACGAACACCAAATGAAGGGAATCCCGGGAATCGAAGGGAAGCCGGTTCCCAGAGTGATAGCATAATCATTATTGAATGAACAGTTAGCTTTCTCGTGATGCGGCAATCTGTAGAATGACATACCGTAGTGCTACTTATAGTTCGTGATCGCTTTGTTCGGGGAGGGGTCAAAAAACTTTCTGAAATTTGTACGTGCTCTTTGAATTTCGGGGAAGGCCGGACCAGATTTTGCGGGCATGATACAAATTTCGGGGCCCCTTCCAAAGTTTCGGGGCTTTTCAAACTGCAGCTTCCAGTCAGTCTCCCTCCACCGGGAACCCTTAGGCTCGCCTCGCCGGCTGCCGTAGCATTGACCGCATTGCGCTCGCGCCTAGCAACCTCCTCGTGCTCCATTGGCTCACGCTGGGCCTCGACAACAGCATCATCAAGCCTAACTGGTGCAAATCCAGCTCGGTCGCTCACCGGAGCGTTTGGTGCTAGCGGTTTCATCCCGCATTGAAGCAGGGTTGCCTGTCTTGCACGTTTTCCAGCGTTGTTCATGTCCTACGTTTATGACTATATTTTATGTATTTAAGAGCTGATTTCCGCCTTGAAATCCTAGTTTTTGCGAAGTTTGATCGACCGGCTTCGAAGGGTACGATATTTCGGGGCTGTGGTCCCTTGGGATACCTTTGAATTTGTACGTGCTACATATTCGTGGTGCCTCCCGAATTATTATAGCACGAACTATAAGTAGCACTACGGTACACACAAAGCAGGAGTGTCATTGCGGGAACGTGTGTTGCCGCTGCTGCACCAAATCCATGAGTCGGGACTGCCCGATACGTAGGTAGTACTTCCGTGGCATCCATGTTCGACGCCGGCCCTTCGGTCTGCTGGCTGGCAGTTCTAGGCGCGCCAAAGGTGCTTCATGGACCAATTGTTGTCCACTCTCAGCCAGAACGCATTCGGGGATTTTCCAATTGCACATTTTGAAGTAGGAATGCAGCGGCAAAGCTGACGGTATGTCGCAAAGGCACACTTCGTTTGAACTTGGATTGAATCAATGAAGAAGAGAATAAGAAGGACAACATTCAAACAGGCACACAAGCGAGACGCCAGGTGCTTAGAGCGTTGCCATGGGTCGGTCTAAAGTTGCAGGGCATGAAGGAACCAACCCATAAAGGATCATGCCGTTTGCTTATGAATCTATAATGTAAGGGACATGCAACGACGTCAGAGGCAAGGGCTGCGGCGTGAGGGGAAGTCAAACTCGAAGCCATGGAAAGCTATCTTCGCGTTCCGTTCTATCTAAATTCATTCCCTTGGTTTATCGATAGAGAATTAGAATGGATTTCA